TCCTTTCATTTCAACAAATATCTGTACGAAAATTAAATGTAACATTTGAAAAATAGAAAATTTCTAACTTTATCTAATTAAAATATTTTTTATGCAACATTTTTGCTTCATTTTATTTTCGTTTATAATTATGAGAATGAATTGTAATTTTTAAAAATTTCAACAAATTTTACGGCTATGCTAAATATTTCAATTTTAAATTTCAAGTAAAACTTGATGTGTCATTATCAACCATACGAATATATGTAAAATATAACAATACAAATATCAAACAGTTCAATTTTAAATAAAATTCAATTTGCGTAATCAACTAGGAGACATGTCGATTACGCAAAATTATGTCACATGTTTTATTCAATGCCATATTTCTAAACATTTCAGTATTGAAATAAAGAGTTAGATGGCGATCGTTAAAATTATTTCACGAAATAATTTTATAATTTACATATTATTTACTTTGTATAAAATATACTACATCAAATTAATTTTATTACTAAATGAGAAAAAAAAAATTTTACCTAAAAGTAATAATTTGGTAATATAATTAGTATAATGTGTAAAACAAACCTGCATAAGAGGAAATGGTGGTCGTTTCTTTGAAGTTAATAAAATTGAAAAATCATTCCATGATAAAATACCCTTATCATTAGCTGTTTTAATCCATACTGTTATATTGTTATTATTACCTAATTCTGTAACAGTAAATATTTTTAAAAATGTCATCAAAATTTATTTAATAAATGAAAATTTTTGCTTAATTATTTCAAAATTTACAGATGGAAAAATTAGAAAAAATAAGAAAAAGAAGGAAATTTTAAAAAATTTTTGAATTTCAAAATAAAGAAATATATGACGTAAAAAGAGAGATAAAAAGGGAGAAAGGAAGAGAGAGGAAAAGAGGAAAGGTGAGAAGAAGGAAAAAGTTAAAGGACAAATGTAGGGACAAATGACGGACATAAATGTCATTTTCCTGTTATTCATACTTTTCTTATCCGGTAAAACTGAATGGACACGGAATCATCATATCTTTGCGTTCAATAATCTTTCATTTAATGCGAAATATTTCAAAAACCTGCTATATGTTATCAATTATAATAATTTTATTTTAATGATTGTATCAATTGCAATATCTTATTGATTGTGTCAATTACCTATGATATCATGTTAATTAATCAATTATCTTCGATATTTTATTATACTAATTACTTGTGATGTTTTATTGTTTGTATCAATTGTGATATTATATTAATTATAAAAAATTACCTGTGATATCCCATTAATTATATCAATTACTTTCAATATCTTATTAATTACATCATTTACCTGCGATATTGATTACAGAAACGTCTGAGGTAGCTTTTAAACTACGGTGAGCATAATTTGGTCGAAATACTCGGAATGAGCGCATTTTGGTCCAATATAAATTAAACTGTAAATTTAAATCGTTCTTTTTTTTCAATCTCTTTTTAGGGCATAAATCTATGACATTTGCATATTTATACTTAACATTTACTTACATCAGGTGATGTTTGTCGTTTTCGAGCAATATTTTTATAAAAGTATGCCCATTTTTCATGTTCGATTGGGAAAAGTTCCTCGGATCTATAATTATTAGCATATTAATTAAGGAATAAATTACAAATTGAAATTAAATGAAATAAGATTACTAATAATAGACGAATATTTTAATAAAAAAAAAAGAAAAAGTAATATGAATAACAAATATTAATTAGCAAAGCAAAACTTTTAAAATATCAACAATTTGGGTAAAATTTCAAAAATGATCCTATAATTGCAATTAACACAATGATTGTTAAATTTTTAAAATATTTCCAATAATTTCAAAACTTTTCCATTTTGCATATCACCTATTTTGCTATCATCTAACAATGCTAATATTAATTATCACTAAAATTTTCCGTTTCAAAAATATTAAATGTATCAAAAACATTTCTTATAATAGTAACGTAATTGCACGTTAAACGTGATCGTATATTATTTCTCTTATATCTAGAAATAAATCAAATTGTTTCATTTCACATATTGTTAATTATGGATAGTCGATAATCCTAAAATAATTAAAAAAAAATAAAGTAATAAAAACCTAAGTAAATATGTTCCCACTAATTCTTTATTTGGTAAAATATTCAATAATACATCGATTGCAAGCGTTTGATCAGTAATTGTTTGATGTAATGGACATGTATTATGAAAAATACGAAGTAATTTATTAATTGTCTGAAATGAAATAATTAAATTATCATTTGATAAATGAATTTTTTTTCATTCATTGACTTTTTTTCTTTTCTTTTGTTTTCATTTTTTTAAAAAAAAAAAAAATTAGTTCAAAAAAATGTAAAAAAAAGCAAACGAAAAAATTATTTCAGAAAAAAAGAAATTATTTATTTAAGTAAAAAAAAAGAGAAAAAAATAAATGATTCGAAATTTTATACCTTCCAATGAAAATGTTTTCCGTCAAAAAGTTGAAGGAATCGTAATGCTTCTTCTTGTACTAACATTGTATTATTATTTGTACTACATAGAAATTGATTTGCATAAGGTAATAAACTGAAAATTAAATTAAAAATATATGCAAAAAAATAGTATTTAAAGATCTCTTGAAAAATTTTAAAAATTTAAATTATATAATAAATAAATTAGAATTGAAAAAGAATGCATCATTTGTGATATTTATTTGTTAGGTTTAAAATTAAAATTTTCTAGAATTTTTATCATACATAATTATTTCCAAATTCAGCCAAAATAAAAAATTTTAAATGTTACAAAAAATTTCAAAATAATAAACAAACTTTAATAATGGTAAATTTTCAAAAATTTGCAATGCATTTATTTGACAATCACTATCCTCACATCGTCCAATGATAAATTTCGTGAATTCATTTACATCCTTAAAATTAATTTTAAATATTTCAAAAATTTAACAAAATTTCACATGATTGAAAATAATCTCAATGATATTTCATTTAGTGTGATTTTTTTTTTCAACTTAAATTTAAAATTTTTTACTTCATTTTTTCCATTTTCGCATGCATATTTGCGACTTTTTGTTGATTCGCAAAAGCGACGATAAAGATTTGCAATAGTAAATGCAATATGTTTCGCATGATGCTTATCATTTGTATTTTTCATCCAATTCTAAAAATTAATATTTCACAAATTTTCCGTAAATTTAATTTTTTTTTTTTAAACTAAATATAAATGTAATACATAGTAATGATTGAACTTTTTTTTTATCAATGAATGATAATTGATGCGAAACTTTTTAACAAATATTCGAAATAGATTTCATAAATAAAAGAAAAAAAAATGATAATATGTGTAACCTTAAGATCATTAATGATAGCAATATCAATTTTTGTCATTTGTGAAAGAGCTTGCAGGAAGCGTTCGAGAAATTTCGGAACTTCAGTTGTGAAAGCATTTTTACCAACAGTATATGATGTCATTGTTCCGGCTAATCCAATAGCATCCACAAATATTAACCTATAATAATAGGCTTGCTAAGGAAGATAAAATCTATGGGAAAGTATTTCGAATAAGATTACGGTGAAATAACTTGGATCATTTTAAAATTAAAAAAAACAAAAACAAAATAATTCAGGTCATACATGATTGGAGTATTTTGGAATTCTCTTATTGCATCCAATAAATCCTGATCTGTAGCAAATAGTACACTATTCAGAATTGTTGCTAAAATATCCGCTTTCTCATCCGGAAATTTGTTGTTGCTTTTTTGTAGCACTAATTTTAGCTGCAAAAAAAAAGAAATAAAAAAAGAAGAAATGAATTTTCGAATTTTGTTTCCATTTTATTTTTATTTAATTAGAAAAAAAAAAAACAAAGGCGTATCTCTAAGATTTGAAAACTCATTTAATTTTTTATGCAAATCTAATCAAAATGGTTTTGAAATATGTGTAATTAATTTCTAAAATTAAAACTGTGCACATAATACAGTTTTTTTTCTTTTTATTTTTTAGCATATCAAAGGTATGTTATTAAATACTTAAAATTTATAATTAAAATTAGAGAAAATAATTTTGTGAAAAAAAACGGAAAAGAAAGAAACTAATAAGAACAGAAGCTAGAGAGACGAAAATGGTATTTCAAATATGATAATAATGTATTAAATTAATAAATTTAAAAAAAGAAGCAGGAAATAGAAAATGTTAAAATAGAAAATATAGCTTGGAATTTTAAATGAAATTTTACAAAAAATATGTTATTTTAAATCGAAGTGAGATGGATAGGTATATTTGAATACGTGAATTGCGTCATATCAAACGTGATAGACGTTCAATTAATGAACATTTATCATTCACCGTATTCTTTTTGATCGCTCACATTTATCATTATCCATTTGTTTAGTAATATTTGCCTATCAATTATTCCACATATTTTTCTCCTTCTTTAGAATCTCAAGATGATACATTTTTTGTCATCGGATCATATTCATCCGAACTTGACATTTGAAAATTGGATAAATGCAAAATTCATTTTTAAAACAATTTTGGAATTTCAACAGTGGGATAAAAAATTTATTCCCTTCAATAATTAAAAATAATCTTTGGATTCTTGGATCATATTTTTCTATCACTTCTTATCCCTTATTTTAACTTATTGGATCACATTAACTCTTATCAAAATTCTTAACTGATCAAATCTTATTGAATTTTAGAGAAGTTTAAATCAAAAATATTTGTAATTGCATACTTTTGATCGTTCCTTTTTCACACCTATATTTAATTTTTGTTTAATTTCCTTCCAATTTCTGCCCATACGTTTTGCCTTGAATACATTCTCAGCGCATTCATCAGCTAATAATTCTGTCGTACAGAAAGGTTTGGTAAAATGAATGGTACGATTTGTCATTGCGATTTTTTCTCTCAAAGAAAAAAGTTTCATAGTAAAATAATTGAAAATGATGAAACAATTTGAAATAAACGTTGAATTTCAAATTTATTGACAAAATTAAATTTTTATACATTTACTTTTAGGAGAAACTTTTTTTTTCCTTTCATTTATAATATATTTATAACATACAAAATGTATATTTAAGATGTAAATTATTCAGGATGCATATTTTGCTATAATGTTACTTCAATTAAGTTCTAATTTTTCTCGATTAAAGTGCGCACATTGTTTAAAATTTCATAATACAGTATTGCAATAGTACTGAAAAAGAGTATTGCTAAAATTGGTATGATTAACTTTTTAAAATTTTTAAAAATTTACAATCAATAATAACATACTGAGTTTCCACAACTAGATTCCAATTAGAAATAATTGAACTCTTTAGGATCATCTTTTCCTCAGCATCAATATTGACAATGTCAGCATTTAATTTTGTGTTTTGCCTAAAATTTTTAAAAATTTTTCATCATAATTTAGTAAATAAATGGTATGAAAAAATAACATGGTTAAATAAATATGTTAATTAGATCACATAAGTATCATACGAAAGTCTAAAGATCATACAGGTATCATTCAAATGATACAACATCTGTCAAATTTCATTCATCTCCCTCCAAATTATGCTCTATTATTCAAAAAATATCTAAGGTTAGCTAATTGGTATTACTATCATTTATCAAATAATATTTATTTGCAGGTAACATACATGTAAACAACAGAATGTTGATAGTTATGTTGTGTGAGGTCATCAATTGACGTAAAATTGCGAATACCATCAAATTGACAATGATTTATTTGCCTTCGGAATATTTTGTCTCGTGGTTTTGAGAAACGATAATGACATAAACCATATGGTGTGATCGGAAAATTGAAAATGATTGAAAAAAATGTTCGCAAAAAATTTGAAATTTAACGCTTGAATTCGCAATTATCTGATTACATCTGTTAGATTTGACATTTTAGTTGACAAATTATTTTTCAAAAATACTGCATTTATGATATCATAGTAATGAAAACTTTTTTTTTTTTCCAAAATTAGTCAAAATTTTTCAACTGCAATAAATTGCTGAAAGAATAAAGTAATTATTTGGGGAATTGTTGAAAAAAAAAATTTAAACATTTCTCCTTTTTTGAGCTAAATAAAATAACTTTTACTTGGAATGAATGAAAAATGTTCATTTCGAAAATATCAAATTTATGTTAAAATACATTCAATAATAAATCAAATAATTTCATATAATTAAATAATGATTTAATTGATTCTGTAAATAAATAACTATTATTTAATTCCCCTAATTATTTGATCATTTATTTAAATATTATCATAAATAATTTAAAAGAGAGAAAGAAAAAATAAAGAAAATTCAATAACATACAACATTTTGCTCATCCCCAGCACCAATTTTAGCCGGTGTTATCGTAGTATAAACAATTGCAAAAAGGACATTCCAGTTTGCTTTCCAGTTTTTTTCGCCTAATTTTGTTGTCATATATAGTCCTTCCAAATTATTTCCACCTTGGATGAAATTAACATAAATATCCGGCATATCATACTCACATGGACCACTAATGCATTTCAGTAACTGAAATAATTCAATTCATTTATTTATTTATTCCACTATTTGTTTATTTATTTATTTTAGAAATAGCACATTGTTTTTGTTTTTGTTATTTTTTTTTTTCATTACTTTGATAATCAATCAAATTATTCAATATTTTAGCATTAATTTAGAAAGTTTTTTTTTTTAAAAAAAAAATTATCCCAAGAATGGAATAAGTGATGCATTATGATGATACGGTAGATGTATGCATTTATAGCTTATTTATTTTTAATATGTGATAAATTTTTGATTCATATTAATTTAATGAAAATATTTCAATTATTATCTTTAATTTAAGCATTTCAATTATTATCTTTAATTTAAGCGTATGCATAAAATGTTTATAAATGGATATGCTTCTTTTTTTTTTTTCTTTTAAATTTTATTTGTCAAATATACATTATTATTATAAACCATTTTGATTCTCTAGTAACTTAATTCCGATGAAACTTTTTATTTGTTAACTTTAGAATTTAGATTGAAATTTTGAGTTTTACCACCAGTGAACATAAGTAGCATTATTAGCTAACAATTTTTACCATTTCAATTTCTTGCGTAATTTATCGGCTTTTTTCTTTTCTTTTTTTCATTTTTTTTTTGAAACCATTTCTTGCCAACACAATTCTTTCTTGTTAATAATTAATTGACTTGTTTCGCAAATTATAAGTTATTCTTCTATTTATTAAATTTTTTCTTTTTCCTGTTATCGTTTTATATTTGATCAGAAATCATTTAGTATTAATATCTGTTATTCGACAATTTATCACTATCCTATTCTTATCCTTCCATTTATTTCTTTTGGCAATAATTATTTGTCAATAAGATAAAATATGACAATTTTTATAATTTTAAACAATGAATCTTAATATTGAATAATTTTCATACCTTAAATTATAATTTATTCCGAAATTAACAATATCAAAATTTTGAACAAATTTCATTAGAAATTAAGTGAAAAATGAAACAATAAATAATGGAGGGATAAAAATAGGATATAGAATTGGAAATGCGAATGAATCTGATGCAGAATTGGAAATGAAAATGAACCCTGTATAAAGGTTTGATGAAAATAAATTTGATACAGGAATGGAAATGAAAATGAATCCGATATGAAAATTTGATGAAAATAAACTTGATACGAGAATGGAAATGAAAATAAACCTGATATCGGCCAAGAATTTTACCAGTAGGATCATAGTGTAAAATATGAAAAGAATAAGTTACATTAATTGTTTCAACAATACTTCCATGCAATTTTGTCTTTTCCTCATAAATTCGTGTCTTAGACCAAAAATTATATTCATAAAAAAGATATCTGAAATGCATCAATCATTTTTCATCATTGATATTTGTTGTATTAAAATAAATAGATACCATTGGGAGATGAAAAAGCCGGGAGGAAGCGGGAGTAGCGGAAAGATGGACAGAAAAGAAAAGGATATTATTGATGCTATTTCCACAATTGGAAAATAATTCGATCAATTATTTCTTCAAGTTATTTTAATTAAATCATTAATTAATTAAACTTCGATATTTCCGCCAACTGTATAACTAAACAAATAAAACAAGCAATTCTATTTTATTCAATTATATTAACTCAAACTTTGCTTCCTCTTCGTCATTCTGCGTTGGTTTCATTTTTATATTGCTATCATTTGATGCTATAATCACGTCAGTAGCGCATATCACGTACGTCAAACCTAAATAAGTAATAGTAACGGGAGAAAAGTTTAAAAATTAACAAAGAAATGATAGGAATATAAACTCATAAAAACAATTATAAAATAGAAGTGATAACAGAATGAGTGCAATTTTTTGTAACGTTTAAGAATTAATTAACAAAAAAAAATCAATATATATCAGGAAATAAATTAGTTTTATAACTTATTACTCCAAACGAAATTGTCAAACAAACCAATTGAGTGTAACAGTAAAATTGTAAACTTCAACATGGTGCCAGCAATGCATACAATGATAAAATATATGCGCAATATCATTTCCCAATTATCAGTAATGTAAACATTTAATTTATCAGTGATAAAACGAAAGCTTGCATGCTTCGTAAAATTAAAACGAGCAAAAGTTTTGATCTTTAATGCATCTATTAAAAATTAAAAAAAAAAAATAAATAAAAGAAAAAGTGAGCAGAAATGAGAAAGAAAATTCCGAATTTTTGATAATTTCAAAATTTCCAAAATAAGTTTTACAATATTTGAAAGGAAAATAATTAATATTTTAATAAATATTAGCAAGTTTTCACGCTTATTTTTTGTTTTTGTCGAAATTTATGGAAAATTTTTTGCAAAAATTATTTAATTTATTTAAGTATTACTATTATCCCTTTGCTATATTTATTTGTTTGTTTGTTTTTCTTTCTTTCTTTCTTTTTTTTTTATTTGTTTATTTACTTGCTCATTCGCTTGTTTGTTTGCTTTTTTTTTTTTTTGAAGTTTTTTGCCAAATTAATTTTTTGGAAATTTTATCATGACATTATTGAATTTATATTTTATCTCTCGTTTCCTTCCTCTTTATTTTCTTTTTTATTTTTTTATTTTTTTTTTTATTTCCGTTACTTTATACTTCAACCAAATGTAAATCACACTGATCACAGAAGAATTTCAGCAGTTTTAATAAGTAATTTAGTTATTCAGTTTAGGATTAACTTAATTCTTCTAGTATGCAATACAACACACAGTTATATATTTTAATTTCCATAAAATAAAAAGATATTGCGAAAAATTTCGTTCATCCAATTTTTATTTAAATATATTCTTTGTTATTGTTTGAATAATTTTTTTTGAAATGTTAAATTTTACCGAAATTTCATTCATTTTTTTTTTATTTTTTCCCTTTCGCTTTCTATGGCATACATTGTTGGGATAGTTTGAAATGCGCAGTATATTTAAAATTTTTTTTATTCTCTTTTTTT